GTTTTCAAAACTAAGACCAAAGATCACGATGAGCTATAATGGGTTCCATGATGGCTTTGTTTGAAGGGGGGTTATGTAGTCACACCATGTCATTTTTCATTTCTCAAGTCATTTGAAACACAGGCCAGTTATGGGATGGGAGTATTGGTATTGGCTCTAGCACCAACATAAACACCATTTAGGTAGAAAAGGGGTTTATGCACTTGACACACAGTGATATGTAGTATCAGTCCAACCTTTCAATGAAGTTGTTGAAGAGAATGCGATGAGAGTAGCCCTGTCTGCGTATCTTGGCCGTCTCTAGAATACCAGTGTAGCGTAATTGGATTAGAACCTTCTCCCTGTCAAACTTATGGGCTTGCCGATCATTGTTGGGTTTTATGCAACGCACAAAGTGAGGCTGGCCTGCCACCATCTTTGATAACAGGTCCATTAGAGAATACTGCAAAGTACAGTGAATAAAGCAAGACTGTGATCAGGAGTGACGATTTTTATTGGTTCTTCTCATTATTAGGTCTTCAAAAGTCTTACTCTGAAGTAAGAGGCCACAGTTTGAGTCTTCATGTTGGTGGTCTCTCTGGGGTGATGTGTGGTGTCTCCTGTGCTCTCCGCCTTTGCAAACATAAAATATTCAGCATGCTGGAAACATGTGGTCATGAAAATCTACAGAAGGGATATTGGGGGTCTTTTATATAAACATAAAATGATCTGTTTATAATACATTTATGCATGTCTCCTCTTGGAAAATCTTATACAACAAAGCCAAAGGTCAGGGTAAACACACAATCACCGTTTGTACAGTGTCAACAGGCAAGGCAAGCATTGTTTTGTCATGGGTGGGAGTTAATTTCCGAGAGGAAGACTGAAAAATAAATGCATAGCATGTCTCCTCTTGGAAAATCTTATACAACAAAGCCAAAGGTCAGGGTAAACACACAATCACCGTTTGTACAGTGTCAACAGGCAAGGCAAGCATTGTTTTGTCATGGGTGGGAGTTAATTTCCGAGAGGAAGACTCGGAAAATTGTGATAAGACAGTCTGATTTGAATCCAAAACTTTTTTATATATAGTAAAGAAATAACATGAAATTAACTGCAGGATTCATTTGCAAAGCAATCTAACAAGCATTCAATCATCAATAAGGCCAAAGTCCTTGTTTGAAAGGGCCATGAATATTTCACCAGGCTATATTATCAAGGTGTTTCAGTGTTGAACACAAAGCAGAATCACACACTGACACAGGTGCTTTTATTTTACGTGGGCTAAAATGGATAGAATCTTTCATGTGACATTTTCTAAAGATAGCATGCTTATATATGCAAATCAATGGTAATGTATGCAGGTCTTCATCAAAGAGATCATTTCAATATGTTTAAAACCCTCATTCATTTTAGAGTGCAACCTGAATGTGAGCTCTAAGTAGCTCATGTGTTCTCTTAATAATTCTCTTGGGAATAATAAACTAAATGCTAAAAAACATTAAATTTGGAACACAAGTAGATGTTTTTAAAATGCGACTGCACATAAACACATGAAGGCAATTCTCCTAAATTCCACAGGGACACTCAATTCTAATGTGTATTATATGAACTAATCAAGCTGTAAATCAGTCAATCTACAAATGCATTAGCTATTAGACAGCTGGTAGGGTCACATGAGAAGATACTCTTTCATTCTCACAGACATGGGTCATTTTCAGGAAATGGTGCCAAGCATGTCTCCATGATTACTGATGCAACGAACAGACCTTTGTTGCAATATTTGCAATACACTTTTAAATGAAACAAAATTGTACTTGTTAAATGTTTGATTTTCATAAAACATGTAAATGTGCATATACTCACATTAGCCCTTTTAATTTATTTTTGAAATCATAATCATTAAATTCACATGGTGAATTTCTCTTTCAGTCTTTATCAGTATTTCATAATGTTTATTGGCCTCATCAAACTCATTTCAATATCTTTTCAGTATTTTTGTTTTACAGAACTTTACAAATAAAAATATAATTGGTTCAAATATTGAGTATAATCACTGTAAATCATGTAATGTGTTGTAAAGTAATGATAAATGGCTAGTTAACGTTATATTTTATGTTTAGTTAATGACTTTCATTTAACCAATAGAATTACAATTTACTATATATTACTATAGATTTATAATTCAAATGTAAATGTCTAAAGGGTTTAAATAATATACTGATTTTGATAGTTAATTAGGAAAGAATATTAACATTATATCACATTATAATGAAATATGTTTAAATTTGTAAAATATACAGGCACAGATATGCCATCCCGTAATACCTGAAACATAGACACCATATTTTTTACCGTGAATTTCTGGCACAGCTGACTTTTTAACTTTTTTCCCCCTTCCAATATTGGGATTAACAGTATAGTAACTAGAAGGGGAAAAATCTGAAAATGGGAAGGATGCATCAACCTAAGGCGATCAGCTTTCCCAGAGAAACGTTGCGTTCACTCACAAAACATTTGCAATCTTTTGCAAAACTACTGTTCCTCCAAGAAACTTTGCGTTCACTTACAAAACATTTGCGATCTCTTACAAAACTATTGCATTTCCCGAGAAATGTTGCATTCACACCAAAACATTTGAGTTTTCTCTCAAAACTATTGCCTTCCCTGAGAAACTTTGCATTTGCTTACTAAACATTTACATTCTCTAGCAAAGCAGTGTTCCCCGTACAAACGTTGTGTTTTTGCTCACAAAAGCACATCATTTTGTGAACTTTAATGTTTTTCCTAACACCTCATTTTACTAAGTTCTGCAGGTGAATGCAATGGTTTTGTGAGCGAATGGAAATACATTGAAATATAATTTTTTTTACCATCACCATGTCCCTTTAGGAGCTCTATAGTACAGAGAGGAGAAGAGGTCAAAATGAGGTACCTTGGCAAAGTTAATGGTGCCTTGTGATTGTTGTGTGCCCATACAAGCAGATCCCGCAGCCTTGCCTTTAGTGTGAGCCAGGTTACCTACACAAAGAGAGAGGTCAGGGCAAATATCTGCTTTTACTGCGATAACCAAACACATTAGAAATCTGCTGTTGATACTTCATTAGATTAGATCACATGTTCTTCACAGATAATCTACCAATTATTGCAAGGTTAACCATTTCAAGGGCACTGGAATATACGGTCTTTAGAGGTCAGTGCTGTGACAGATAAATAAGCTTCACAATGGTCAAGTAGCTAACAAAAGCCTTATGAATAAGGCCTAGGTTTGAAATCCCAGCAGACTTCCTGGAAACAATCCCCAGTGAATCTCACAGGACGTAATCGACTGTGTCAGTCAGACGACCTCCATTCATCCCATCAGATCGCACGGGAGTGAGCACATTTTCTTTTCTAGAGAGAGTGCTACATTCATTCGTTCAGACCAATAGACCAAACTCCCTGCTTAACGTTTCAGACAGGATGGTGTTTGCACTGTCATTTCCATTCTGTGAGATTGTGGTGTGGCCTATAATGCGGTGTAATCTAATAGAATGTGACTATACTTACCATTTGGGTGCTCATGCTATGCTAAAATACACTACAGTAGTATTGCTTTCTCTAGTGGGTCACTTAAAGAAGCACAAGTTAGGCGAACGTTTTGGTTTAAAAATAACCTAAAATCTACCAACAGCATCTGTGTCATACTGTTATAGCAACCCTTGTCACTCGTCCCGTAGTTTAAAGGACAAGTTTGTGTGCTTATAATAAAAGTCTATGGGGCATGTTGGAGGGTTTAATATTTAAAAATTGTAATAAAATGTGTCTATACTAAAAAGTGTTGTTTGAACTGTACAGTTGTATTTTTAAGTGTGATTACTTTTCTGTATGGATGAACTTTAGATGATGTGGCATTTGCTCCATGTAAACAGGTCTTGATAGTTTATAGGAAATTCTGTTTTCTTTTTTTTCTGGATTCTGTACTTTGCGATTTTTAATACAAATGTAACAGCAAAAATACTGTCTAACAAATTCATTAATAAACCTTTAACAATTGAATCAATTAGAAATTTAAAAATATAATCAAATGAAACTATAACAACAAAACATTGCATTTTTTGGTCAAACAAGGTGCTGCACAGATAAAAAGAACTTTTATGGTGTATAAATAAATAAAAAATGGCTGTTATATATGATATTACTTATACTTATAATAATAATAATAATTACCCACTTAATGTTTTAATACTTTGTATTACATTAGATTAGTATTATATTTGTATCATATTATATATAGCCATAAATTATCTTTTGGGGGTGATTTCTCTGCCAAATTTGGTGTGCAATAAATTTGTGATTAGTGATTTTTTTTAAAGAATTCACACTGCAGGACTCTGCTATTCACAACTAAAGTAGTGGAAACTGGTGGATGTACTCAAAGCAACAAAATGTTCCCTTTTTTTTCTGGCAGCACAATGGGGAAAAAAAAAGTAATTGAACGAGGCAATTACACAATGATTGGATTGACTGACACATTGTTAGAGGTCACTGTTTAGAAAATCTGTCACATACAGAGAGGACAAATGAAACACACACACCAAAAGCTTTATAAGCGCATGCCTAGATGAATGTGTGTGGATTTGTGGGTTCTTTAGCAACATAAAATAATTATATCTGTACAAAAAAAGGACAGAAAATGAAGCATCTAAACAGCAGACATACCAAAGGCTTTAAATGTTTCTAAAGAGTGCAAAGTCAAAGCAAACCTGTTTTAGTGAGCGGGTGAGTAAGCAGTTTACGGATCAGTTCATTCTCTGAGGACCTCAGCAGAAGAACAATATCAGCGGGCAGAGCATCTCTGTTCTTAGCCAGAAAACCGCCGGCATTATAGATCACCTAACCACACGAGAAACAAGATGTATTTGCATCTAATAGACTATTATTCTCACAGATGAACTTGGCTTAGAGGGCTAGTTCACCCAAAAATGACAATTCTGGCATCATTTACTCACCCTTGCATACACAAAAGACGATATTTTAACAAATGTGTTTTCATTTTCTATACAGCAGACAAGTTCTTCACACTATTAAAAAAACGTTTGTATAAAAACTATTTGTTTGGGGAATCCAAAATTGTTCTTTCATGACACTGCTGTGAAAACTCCATTTTGGATCCTTTATTTATAGAAATGTGAATGATGTCAGAATTTTCCTTTTTTTGTGTGTAAACAAAACATTTAATTCTATTTCATATCTTTGTTTCTGTGGTATGTTTGAAAAAAAAAAAAAGATGCAGAAATAAATATTGATAAATATAAGATTTCTACCTTGCCTGCGTAGTGATGGATTCCAAAGCCCAGATCAACCCTCTTTGGTCTCCAGAAGTTTTGGGACTTTAAGTTGTCCTCAAATTTCTCTGAATGAACAAAAGACAACTGCTTGTTAATTATGCACTCATTCACACACTCATCCATTCACAAGTTCATTCATTCAATAATTAATTTGATCGTTGACGTAGTTTGTCGATTTAACCATTCATAATTTGTCAGTTCATGCATTCATTTGCTCATATATTTGGTCGTTCACTGACCCGACCCTCATTAATTCATTCATCCATTCGTGATACCATGAGATACACATGAATGAATTCATCCATCAGTTTCATTCAGTATAAAGCAATAAAGCTAAGTCATGGAAAAACAGCTAGGCGTCTAGTGTTGGCAAGTTGAATTATTCAGCTGTCAGTCAAAGACTTCAGTGAGAGTGTCCTCTGGAGAAAGCAGATGAAAACTTAGCATGCCAGTAAATATTTGATGACAGCCTCTCCCTTGATCTTGTGGGTCTGTGCGTACGTGTGTGTGTGTGTGTGTGTGTGTGTGTGAGAGAGAGAGAGTGTAAGTGTCCCTGGTCATAAGACACTAGGTGAACACAACTCAAGCTAAAAGCTCTATGATGTTTCAGGGAGAAGGTCAGATGTTGAGAGGAACTTGCCGACGAGGGTCTGGTCAGTAGCCTGAGGAAAGCGACTCTCCTCGTCCAGTAGCGCTAACATGCCCATGGGCTTCTGAAGGAATAGGTCCAGCAGCGGCCGGTTGTCTTCATATTCAATCACTCGAGCATCCACGTCTTCGTTCAGATACTCATCCTGCAGAGCAACCAAATGAGGTTATTGGAATCAAATCTCTGAATGTTTTATACAATACTATTCAAAAGTGTGGGATTTTTATTTTATTTTATTTTATTTATTTTTAATTTAATTATTTTTTTATACTTTATTTCATTTCATTTTATTTTAAGAATTAATGCTTTTTTCTCTCAGCAAGGATGTAATTAATTGACCAAAAGTGACAGTAAAGAGTTTTTAAAACTATTATTCATATTTCAAATAAATGCTATTTCTTTGAACGTTCTATTCAACAAAGAATCCTACAAAAAGAAAGAAAAAAAATTAATAATAAGAAATGTTTTTTTGAGCAGTAAATCAGCATATTAGAATGATTTCTGAAGGATCATGTGACACTTCATGTGAAAATTCAGCTTTGTATCACAGGAATAAATTATATTCAAATAGAAAACAGTTATTTTAAATTGTAATAATATTTCACAGTATTACTGTTTTTACTGTATTTTTAGATAAATGCAGGCTGGGTGAGTGAAAGGGACTTCTTTTAAAAACATGAAAAAATCTTACCGGCCCCACATTTTGGAACATTAGTGTAGATGCATAAACTATCAATATTTATTTAGAAAATTAGACAAAAATGACACAATATTGAGAACATTTCTTAATTTGGTCCAGAAGGACACTGCTGCTTCTTTAATTCATCACCCCTAAAATGGCATAGAAAACAAAATCCACGTCAATCAGTTATTCTCTTCCTGTCTAACTGGGCGTTTTTTTAGCCAGAATAAACTGCAAGTGCACAAGACTTCATGCTGATAGTAAAAAAATTGGTCATGCGAGCCAAATTCTACATAAAATGTCAAAAGAAAACTCTTTGTTATGAGACAATGCATTCATATTTTGAAATGTCTTGTTTGATTGCACTATGTCTCTGAATGTGATGTTTTCTGTGACCTTTACGCTTGATGCTGCTATTATTTTGCACCTGAATTTCTCCTCGGGGAACGTATTTCTGTTCTTCTATCCACTAATATTTGTATGCTTCCAATAAGACTGCAGACTTCTGCTAGCCTCCTAAATCTGAGCTACACTGTGTGTCAGGCAATTCCTGCTGCTACACGATGACTTCCTGTGAGCAGAGCACTCAACCCAAAGCACAAATGTCATGTCCGTCTTGTCTCTAGACTGCCATGTTGATAAATTACAATACACACATGGACCTAAATTATTCACTGGAGAAACGCATCAACACACATAAAGAAGCTTGTCCAAGAAATCCAATCTCTGGTGTAGATTTGAGCTTTTAGCCGCGGGTTAAGTCATCCTGCGAACAGGGAATAACCTCATTTTTTGGGACAGTAAGACTGCTGCTGACATACAAGCCTCGGGGAGGCAAAAACAACAGAGATTTGAAGCAACAAAAAATAACAGAAAACACACTCTTCAGTGTTTACTTCAGGCTACATACTCCTGAGTGCTCGGAGTAGAAATAATAATATGGAGAACACACATCAACAAATAGGTTGTGAAGAAATGTTACAGGAAAAGCTCAAAAAGCAATTTCTGGGTCAAATTCAACTAACTAACTAACTAATTGTATTGTAAGATAATTAAGCATATTTTTGGACTTTTCTTTTCTTTTGCTTTTGATATTGTTTTAATTACATTTCCCATACATTCTCATTAGTGTAAAAATCTAAATTTCATTATTATGTATATTAGTTAAAAGATGCATTAATGATGCTAAAATAATATTACAACATTTTTACTGTATACAGTAAAGATTATAAAAAATAATTACATTTTCTCCCAAAATCTCATCATAAAAATGTTCTCTTTCTTTCTTTCTTTCTTTCTTTTTCTTTCTTTCCCTCTCTCTCTTTCTCTCTTTCTTTCTTTCTACACACACACACACACACACACACACACACACACACATATACATACACATATATATACAGTATATATATATATATATATATATATACACACACACACACACACAAGATAAAATAAAATACAAACTATACATAATAATAATAATAATAATATACATAATATAATAATAATTATTATTCTTGATTCCCTAGCACCCTCATAGCAACTGCCTAGCAAATAAATATATTTGTGAGATTTACCCATATAAATACTAACGAATTATGCATCAACCACAGAAATGTGGCCATCATATCCGCACGTTTACCTAAAGCAGCATTTCCTGTCTGCTTATAGAAGCACAAGCAAAGTCAGCGGCTCCTGACATAACCCTTGTTTCAGATGATTTATGAAGGCACTAATGTGGGTTAGCCGCAAACGTTTAGAGGCACCAAATCACTTTCCCCCTCAAGGCTACAGTCAGTCTGGGGAATTGCCACGCTTGTCTGCGTCAAAAGAAAACTGAATATTCCACTCCCCTTCCTTTCATTTCTCACAACACTGTGAAACGATAAATGATGAGGTGTTACCACCATTTAGATGGAAATAAGGTTATGCAGAGAGGGGGGACTAAAAATGCTCCCAAAAGGCATAGAAAAGCTCCCAAACAATTCAAGACTGTATAAAATGACTTTATCAGAGGCAGGATGTACCTGTTCCCAGGCGAAGACGTGCTGGTTGAAGTAGAACTGGATCTGCTCATTGGCAATGTTGATGCAGAGCTGCTCAAAAGAGTTCCTCTTAAAGTTTTCAAAGCCAAAGATGTCCAGAATACCGATGTTTAGACCTTTGTCTTCCTCCCTGGAGAGAAATTCAAGGATAGAATTAAGAAAAAAAAATGTATATGGAATTTTAAAAATGTTTGTCATTCACACATCAGTACATAGGATGAAAGTATATCTTTCTAGTTTCTGGTCAGCAAGGAGATGTTCTAAAGTTGTATTTCTCCTGGATGGTGGCATTGAAAGAATTTGATTGCAACTGTTGAAATAGTGGCAAATCTGAGCACAGATTGAGAACACTCTCTTCTCTTACCCTGACTGGTTGTCGTTGTCTGGTTTCAGGAGAGAGTTGATGCGGTTGACGATCCAGCTGAACAGGCGTCCATAAAGGGCTTTGCCCATGGCGTCCCGTACCTCAGTGGCCTTCTCCGCTGTGTTTGATCTGACGATGGTTTCGCCCCGTGTGACCACACAGTGAGAGGTCAGCGCTTCCTGGAGCTCATCCGCACGGATACACAACAGCGATGCAGCTGAACGTACAAACACATAGAAACATAACAACAATATGACGATTACAAAAAGTACTGTTGCACTGGGTACATACTTACAAGTACATGTAACATGACAATACCCCAGTTTTGGGATATGCTATCATCATGAAAAATGATGGTAAAATTACCAAAAATTTGTAAACCACAAACTAGGGTTATACCTAACCCTAACCCTAACTAAAACTAAAACCATAGAAAGAAAACAACATCAACAGCAAACTTGGAATAAAATACAAACAACCCAAGTGATACAATTAAATAAAATAAATTTAACATCAGCAAATTGCCAAGACAACATTGTCATCTAGTTTAACCTGATGTACTAAAAATAGAACAAAAATGAATAAAAACTACAGTATATAGACATATTACAAAAACTAATAAAAATGACAAACACACTACAAAATTACTCAAATTTGAACTAAAATATAAACAGAGAACATAAAAATAAACACTAATTAAATATGTTAATAAAAACTAATGAAATGTATTAATATAAACTAAAGTAATACTGCAAGAAATACTGCAAGTTAGCTTTAGCAGAGGGTTTCATTAATTTAAAACCCTAGGAAATTTTCAGGCTTTTTTTTTTAAAGATTAGAAATACACTACATCTTCAATTCTAATTTGAGGAATAGTTCACCCAAAAATGAAAATGAGCCATTCAAGATGTAGATGTGTTTGTTTCTTCATTGGAACACATTTGGGGAAATGTAGCATTTCATCACTTGCTCACCAGTGGACAATGGATCCTCTGCAGTGAATGGGTGCCGTCAGAATGAGAGTCCAAAGAGCTGATATTATCTTATCATTTTTGGATGAACTATTCCTTTAAGCACATTTCTTTTTACAAGAGCTGAGATTAATGCTGACAAAAAGCATTAAAATAACATATTTTAGATTTACTGTAACATTTTCTAACACACACACACACACACACACACACACACACACACACACACAGGTTTGTTTTTTGTGAATTGTGGGGACATTCCATAGGCGTACACACACACACACACACACACACACACACATACATACATACACACATACATACATATATATACACATACACACAGTGGTGGCTAAAATGATCAGAACACTAGCATTTTCACCAACTAATTGTTGGTCTTTTCGCGTTGGCATGAAACATTAGCATACTGCCCGCCCACTTGTTGGTCTTTTCGCGTTGGTCTGAAACATTAGCATACTGCCCGCCCACTTCTCCAGATCTCCGAGGACCTGACTTGGACTTCACACATCCAAACTCAGGTTAATAAAGCCAGGCAAAGACTGTACCATCTGCGACAGCTGAGAAAATTCAGGGTTTCGCCAGCAATCCTGAAAACATTCTATTCAGGGGCCATTGAAAGTGTATCTCAGTGTGGTATGGGAACAGCTCCAGTCAAGACTGCAAAGCCCTGCAGAGAGTTGTGCACTTAGCTGAGCGCATCTCAGGGTCTGCTCTCCCCTCTCTACAGGACATCTACCTCAAACGCTGCAAAAGCAGAGCTGTCAAAATCATCAAGGACTCCAACCACCCTGGTAACGGTCTTTTCATTTTGCTGCCATCTGGTAAGCGCTTCCGTAGCCTGATGGCAAAAACCGAGAGACTTAGGAGGAGCTTCTTCCCTCAGGCCATCAGGCTCCTAAACTCAAACTCAGTCTCTTAACACCAACATGACTTCACTTAATTATCAGTAAGACACTTAATGTACTGACATTGTCACGTGCACACAGCAATTTCTGTAATATTTTATTAATTTACTTTTTTACCCCTATTGCTGCTATGTAACTACCTTGTACAACCGGTTTGCACATTCTTCTCTTGTACATTCCTGCTCATCTTAATATTTATTAATTCTACAGTATACTGTGCTGCGCATTTTATTTTATACTTATTTTTGTATCTTACTTTTTCCATACCTATATTAATAATTGCACCTGACTTACATTTCACTGCTGGTCATATATTCTCTATATAACCATGTATGTGACAAATAAAAAATCTTGAATCTTGAATCTTGAATGAAAATGTAAATGCATTCTTTGCCACTAGGTGCCGCTTTAGGAGCAGTAAAAATAATGGTTTCCCCGGTAATGGCTGTACACAAAGCAGCACTGTGCTCACAAACAGCTGCTTTATCAGGCGTTACAGGCATGATAAAGTGGAAATGAGACCAATCACTGCAGATTAGCGTCACGCAAAGGAGGAGTTTGGAAAAATGAATCATTGAGCGAATCTTTTGGGAGTCGTTGAGCAAGTAAGGTAAAAATAAAATGCATATTATAAGACAATGAAAGTGTTTTTTGACCTTGCATGCATGTCAACCTGTTGTTGGGGACTCCCAAAACCAAAATATGAACCTTTCATTACCCATAATAGGGGCACTTTAATTCTGTATTCATGCTGAACTTAGCTGCAGCTTCAAGGTTAAGGCAATATGAGAGAGATGGTCTCCTACACGGCCTGGTGTACGACCCGAGACTTCTCCAGCAGGTAATCTGAGATCTGAGCTCCCACCACGGTCCCTCCACAGGTGAACTTCATCTCCAGATACTTCCCAAAACGACTGGAGTTATCATTGATCACAGTGCAGGCATTTCCAAAGGCCTCCACCAGGCTATTGACCAGCAAAATCTTCTCTTGGAGGGTCTGATTGTTTGCCTGAAGAAACAAAAAGATAGAAAAAGATTTCAGTTGGAATTATTTTATTATTGTGAGAAGAATAAAGCATTAAGTGATATGAGAGACATTCTATGACAAAAAAACATGTCATAACGTGACAGTGAGAACATAAAGCCGCTTTCCGAACCTTTCCAAGGACGGTCAGCTGTTGGACTAATAAGTGGGCACTTTCTGTTTTCCCAGCACCGCTTTCTCCGCTAATGACAATGCACTGCACACAGAAACAAACAGTTCAGAACATGACTGATGATACACTAAGAACAAAAAAAAGGTAACCTAAAATTGATAACATCTAAATATTAAAATATTAGGTCACACTTTATTTTAATGTCCAATTCTCGCTATTAACTATGACTTTTGCCACAATAAACTCCTAATTTGCTTCTTATTAATAGTCAGTAAGGTAGTTGTTAAGTTTAGGTATGGGGTAGGATTAGGGAAGTAGAATATGGTCATGCAGGATATGTGCTTTATAAGTACTAATAAACATCCAAAATGCTATTAATAGGCATGCTAATAAGCAACTACAGTAGTTAATAGTGAGAATCGGTCCCTATACTAAAGTGTTACCAAATATTATTTGCTATCATTCACTCAACCTAATACAATACTTGAAAACTACTTGGGTTAAATCAGGTAGGGATATCTCTTTAAAGTAACAATTGCAGGTTACGAACATACTCTAGGACCACAGTTGAACATACTCTACCTGATCAGCATTATGGGACACCATGGACTGATATGCGATGTCTGCAACTGCGTATATATGAGGAGGGTTTGATGTTCTTTTGGCTCCAATATAAACCTTAGAATGCTGTCAGAGAATCACAAAATATTAGACAGCTGTAAACTGTAAATTAGATTTCCTGAAACAAAAGTGTAACGTGTAATTAAGTGTTCGAAAACTTTTAGCTTGCACTTAAGTATATTCTTAAAGTATATTATTTCCATAATAAGCACTCTTTTTCTAAGTACACTAAAGTGCACTTCTTTTTTCACAAGGAAATCTAGAGAGAGGAGAACATGTGAATGAAAGAAAAGGGAAAATTATATATACACTCTTTATGCAAGAGGCACAATATCACAAAACAGATACAGATTGACAGGTGAGGAAGAAAGCGAACGAGAGATGTGGCAGTAAATGGAATGTAGTAGACTATGAAATGCTGAGGGCATTCATAATGAAATATCTCACACCTCCGGCATGTACAGCTCCGTTTTGTGGAATGGATTAACCGCTATGAGGATGTCTCCAACGTAGGTATAGATCTGCTCCTTTGCGTAACGTCTCTGTAGCTGTTCAGTGATTGTGTTCTAACAGAGAGACAATTAAACATCACAGATGGCCGTCCCATCGAACCACTGCACACCGATACACAACAATATAACCATCTAATACCACATTTTCATGCATGACCAAACCTAGACACGGTGAGAGGATTAATTATCTAGACTACTGCATTAATGGTTCTTTACATTGTGATTATTGCACACTATGTACATTTTGCTGCCATATGCGGCCAATATGGCCATACAAGACAGTTACACGCATCACAGGTCTCCATCTGGTGATATCAGTCCAAGGACACAGGCCTAACACAAGTGCTCCCTGTCAGCACTGCTACCATAATGGATGAGAAAATATATCTAGTGTCAAAGACAGCCCTCTGCATTGATAAATCACCTTAAAGGTGTTTCTATACAAACTCTGTTATTGTTCACTAATCTGTCTATTTATTCACTTGACAGTTAAAATATGAGACTGCTTGGATGAGTTATGGTCACTTGACAGTCTCTTTGAAAAATGCTGCTGGAAAATGTAAGAAGTACAAAAAATTCCAGCTGGAATGAATGGGCTGTCTGGCGGAAGGATGGAAAATATCCTGAAGTCTTTCCTGAGTCTTTGTACTGATGATCAAAACCTGTGTGTGTGTGTGTGTGTGTGTGCTTTGCCCTTTCTCTTGTGGGGCCTGTATTCATTCTTACTTCATCTAGAACCTCTAGGGTTGCCAGATCATCCACGTCGTCACAGGTTTGACTTTGAGACTTCATGTAGCTGCCTTTTTTGGTGTGGATCCGCTCATGCCTGCAACCATGAAAGTTAAAATCACAGAAATTAATCACACAAATTACCTTGTTGAAATTATTGATAAAGGCATTAAAGGTAATGATGAAATAAAAACCAATAGTTATATAAGAAAATTGCAAAGTCATTTGAAGATGCCCATATCTAATTTCAAAATCTTTATTGCAAGGTTATTTTATTCTATAGCTTTATTATTTTTTCAAAAGCTATGCAGTAAAATTATCACAATAAATTGAGTTAGCATCTTATCAAACTAACAATAGGTGCTGTGACAGGCATGCAAAATACATTACTGTTCAAAAGTTTGGGGTTAGTAATATTTTTTCCATCTAAAAGAAATGAACAACTATATATTTAAAAAAAAAAATGATGAAAATTAAGCATCACTCTTAGTTTCTATTAAAATATTAAGCAGCACAGCTGTTTCCATCATTGATAAAAATATGAACTTTTTCTTAAGCAGCAAATCAGCTGACTGCTGACTAACCAACTTTTTTAATACTAAAAAGAATTATGAAAATAGTTCAAACTAGTTTTGCCCATAAATAATATAGCCACACTATACTGAATAGTTGTTTTATGAATTTTTAAGCTTGTTAAGTATGTTTGTGATGTTATTAAACAAATGCTAGCATGCACCTATGAACTAGTGTGACTATCACAGCAAATATGTTAAATAACTTCATTAATATGTTAAATAATTTCACTACTGTAAGGGACCGCAAACGTATGCAGAGAGCGGTGAAGACTGCTGAGAAGATCATCAGGACTCCACTGCCCTCTCTTCAGGCCATTTACCATCGCAGAGTCCACAGAAGAGCTGCATCCATCATTAAAGACCCCACCCACCCCCAACACAGACTGTTCACACTCCTACCCTCAGGATGGAGGTACAGGAGTGTAAATTGCAGGACTTCCAGATTAAGGAACTCCTTCTTCCCCTCAGCTATTAGACTCTTAAACAAGTAGCTAGTTAGTGGACTTATATATCTCAGAGAACAGTCGGTCCAAATTGTTTCATCTCATTTGAACATTTGTAATGTTATTGCTGTTATTACGACCATTGTATATTTGTTAATATTACTTATGTAGCCTCATCTCAATTTGCACATCTGTTACTGTTTCTGCTGCTATTGTTATCATGTAGTTGCACTCAAATTGCAAATCTTGGACTTATATATCTCAGAGAACAGTCGGTCCAAATTGTTTCATCTCATTTGAACATTTGTAATGTTATTGCTGTTATTACGACCATTGTATATTTGTTAATATTACTTATGTAGCCTCATCTCAATTTGCACATCTGTTACTGTTTCTGCTGCTATTGTTATCATGTAGTTGCACTCAATTTGCACATGTTACTGCACTATTGTTTTTTGCACATAAGTTAATATTGTACATTCGCATATATAGATACCATATGCATAGTCTATATTTCTATTTTCACATTCTATATTTCTACTCTATTCTCGCATGTATAGATACACATAGTCTATATTTCAATTTTTTCATAGTCTATATTCCTACTACTGCAGCATAGTTTTTATTATTATGTTTCTTACATTGTATGTATGTATGTGTGTGTATAGTTTTGCACTGTCTTGGCATTCATTGTGGACAGCAAAGTAAGAATTTCATTGCTCAGGGAAACTTGTTTTCCTCACTGGGCATATGACAATAAACGCTTTGAATCCTTGAATCCTTGAAATAAAAGCAGCAATTCTGCAGTAATGCAGTAAAAAAAGTGGACAGCAAGGAAGGGGTTACACTTTAAAACATCAAGAGTGCAAAACAGACATCCACTCACACACACACACACACACAATTATACACACTCAAATGAATTGGTATGGCTATAACCATATAGCCAAACCGAGTCAGAAAACTGAAATCAAATCAGACCCTGAAGAATTAAGCTCTGATAAAACATTCCTGTTCATTTTTATAGAATTTTAATGTTTTGTTTAACAAAATGCTTTCTCTGTGTTCAAGTTTGACTGTAGTAATAATAATTAAAAAACTGACGCTTCAAATCAACATTTCAAAAAATAAAAATAAAAAAAACTAAACCTTTACAAAAAGTTGTCTTTGAGAATGTCTAAATATATATCTAAACCCACAACTTTATAAAACAAGTATTTATGTCTAAAAACAATTAGAGAATTTATAGGCCTTATATAGTATATAGAGCTATACTGGAATCTATGGGCTAAACCATGGAATTGCAGATGTTTTTCTCATTTTACTCCCACCAGATAGCACTAATCTGGCTTAAAAATTGGATTTTAAAGGCAATACTGCATTAATTGAAAAGTAATATAAAAATACATCAATTTTTATCATCAATTTTAATGCATAAATATTAATTAGTATCATGAAATTATCTCAAAATACAAAAGAAAAAAAATATTATATATAAAATATGTTACATCGATTTTACTGGGGGGAAAAGTTAAATTTTAAGTGTCCGGTCACTTTTGACCGTGAAGATCACAAGTGTGACTCCCAAATGAGGAGCACCAGATGGTTAAAAGAATAACTCTTGAATAAACCCTACATCCTAAGCACTCTTAAGATTATTCATTATAGAGCAAAGAAAAGCACAACATATGAGCACATATTCTCAATGATATTGGTATTATACACTAAAACTGCAAAAATTAGCTGCCTAACAACACATTCTGTGAATCACAAAAACACACCATTGGGTACACAATCAACACTTCTGGGAAAGCTGCAAGGGAAGTCGCCACGACATATGATCAGAGACAGGAAGCTGCTACTGCTAAATCCACATGAAGTAGATTTGATCTAACCCATGTGACTGACAGTCAATATCTCCTACCTGGAATCACTGTCTCTCCTTTCAGATATTCCAAGATGGCTTAAATGATAAAAATAAAGTTAATATCTTAGAAGCAAAGCAGGGTTTGTGATGGTTCCACTATAATGGCTAGCACTGCGGTCAGCAGAAATCCTTATATTTTTATGAACGTGTTTATGTAAGATTTAAAAATATAAGTAATTCTGATGTATCTCTGGCTTTCAAGACTGATTACAGAGGACTCATTCTTGAGTTTTGAGTTATTTATCAATTGTTGTTTGTTTAAACATGCTCTAGATGGACACGGTCAATAATAGTTTAATTTTTAAGTATAATTTGTCGACATTATGTTTCAATAAAATAGAAATCAAATCTGACAAGGGTATCATACACTTTGCTTAATAAGCACAGATGGCACAGAAAATGGGAGCTATATACAGTGCCCTCCATTAATATTGGCACCCTTGGTAAATATGCGCAAAGGCAGCTGTAAAAAAAATAAAAAAATTAGTACATTAAGACGATATAGACACACGTCATATTCCAGGCAGATTTGTAACATCTTTAGTTGATTAGAATCTCTTAATTATTGCCCTGATGGTGGAAATGGGGATTTTCAATGCTTTAGGTATTTTCTTTGATGGATGATTAGGTGAATTTGGCCTTTGTCTTTGACAGGAAGTCATCATGCCTGGACAATTTCATGTTCCTAGTCACCCTGGTGTGCTAAAAATGTAAATATGAATGGGAATATACTTCAGAGACATTTTACTCATAATAATTTCTAGGGGTGCCAATAATTGTGGCCAACATGCATTGGAGAAAAACTTTTATTTCATCATGAGATTTTCTCCCCACTTTCAATTGTTTTACTTCAATGATAGGTTAGAATTTTGTGAATTGTTTTAATGAAAGATCAAAAGGATAAACAATGCAGATTTATTTTCATAGCCGACTTTGCTCATATTTACCAAGGGTGCCAATATTAGTGGAGGGGCACTGTATTTTACAGGTTGGTCCAACTAAGGCTCAAGCATGTTTTAGACAATCTATTTTAAATGCAAGATAGGACTTTCAAATACTCTGTCATCATACTGAGGATTTTGATGAATTCTACATAAGAATGCATCAGTTTTTTTTTAGCAGAACAACAGCTACCACATCAAGTAAGGTTTCCTCTCTTTGCGTAAATGGACTGTTTCTCTTTATACAATCTCTGGTAGAGTTCATCCAGTCATTTCTTGTGAAAAACAAGTACACTTTATCATACTTTTTAAAAAGAAGTATTCATTACAAAATTAATATACTTTAAAATAACATAATTGATTATTAACTGAATGTAATGTTTAGAATAATGCCTAACTGAAATTAAAACTTTTGCAATGATCCTTTTAATTACACATTTGTAATAATGAAGTTGTGATTTAGTACAATTAAAATGTAATGTAACTTTAAATGTATGATTGAATAACGCACTATAGTTAAAATTATAATCAGCTAGTTAATTGTATGTCTTTACAGCACACAAAAAAGATGATTAAAACAATGAGTTCGAATTAACTTTAAAGTAAAATGTTTAATTTGACATTATTAAAAAATGCACTTAATTACTAACATAGTCATGAAAGTGTACTCTATTTAGGCACACTTAAGTGGCCTTTTATTTCATTAATATATGTGACCCTGGAGCACAAAAGCAGTCTTAAATCGCTGGAGTATATTTGTAGCAATAGCCAAAAAAACATTGTATGGGTCAAAATTACCGATTTTTCTTTTATGCCAAAAATCATTAGGATATTAAGTAAAGATCATGTTCCATGAAGATATTTTGTAAATGTCCTACTGTAAATATATCAAAACTTAATTTTTGATTAGTAATATGCATTACTAAGGACTTCATTTGGACAACTTTAAAGGCGATTTTCTCAATATTTGGATTTTTTTGCACCCTCAGATTCCAGATTTTCAAATAGTTGTATCTCGGCCAAATATTGTCCTATCCTAAAATGGAAATCGTATTTATTTCATTATAAGCTTATTTATATTCAGCTTTCAGATGATGTATAAATCTCAATTTTGAAAATGTACCCTTATGACTGGTTTTGTGGTCCAGGGTCACATATCTACAGTACAATTTGAAGTCCAGTTTTAAAATATAGTTTTACTACATTTAAGCGTATTTTTTTAACACAGGAATAGGTAGAATGTTACTTGTTCTAGGTCACTAATATGGCTGGAAGTTTCATCTAATGTGAGGGTAAAAGGTTTTAATCTGTAGATCTGTCAAAGTTTTTAGTGACAAAAAGTAGCCTTTAAATTGTAAAAGTTAGAAACACAGTTCAAATTAAAACTTGCGACACTTTAAAGACTTTGTTTTTGTCACGTCGAACACATTGTATGACTCGCAGAAAGCACTAGAGCTGATATTTATGTCTAACTACCTTGTTTTCTCGATAACGCCCATTTGTTGGTTGAGGTCGATTAGCTCCATCAGCTGCTTCTGCAGCGTCTTCTCTCGGCCCACAATCTGTTTGATGAAGACATGCTGAAGAAGGTCAAACACATTGGGCCTGAGCTCAAAATCCTTTATCAGACACCTGAAGGGGACACAATCGAAAAATGGGAGAATTTGTGCTAAAATGTCCAAGATATCACATCAAATGGCAACTGATAAGGACCAGATTCCGGAAAAGCAAACAAGCTAAAGGTTGTCGAGATGAATTCAGTTACAAACAATGTTCTGGCGAAACAGCAGGAGGATAATTAGAGTTTTACGAGGCATGGCTCTTTATGAGAGTAATTAACCTACAAAATCAGTGTCAAAAAGAACAACTAACAAAACTTTAACAACCAGCAAACTTTGTATTTGCCAATGCTGTACTTATAATTACAAATACGTTTAACCTGCGTTACTCACTTGCATATAAAATCGTTAAAATCGTTTGACCAAAGCTCTGGTTGGTGTAGGGTGGGTGGAGGATTTCTGTACGGAGAAAAACAGATAAATAGACAAAGATAAGTGTGAGAGAGCAATGAGGAGACAACTGCTCACAGCAAATTGATCCCATTTATTTCAAAGGGAAAAGGCACTCCTCACTTGATAAGATTATTAGATTACTGCCTCAAATTGTCTGTTGTTTAGATGAATCATTTCAAGCACAGACCATGGGAATATACTTCAGAGACATTTTACTCATAATAATGTCTAGGGGTGCCAATAATTGTGGCCAACATGCATTGGAGAAAAAACATTTATTTCATCATGAGATTTTCTCCCCACTTTCAATTGTTTTACTTCAATGATAGGTTAGAATTTTGTGAATTGTTTTAATGAAAGATCAAAAGGATAAACAATGCAGATTTATTTTCATAGCCGACTTTGCTCATATTTACCAAGGGTGCCAATATTAGTGGAGGGGCACTGTATTTTACAGGTTGGTCCAACTAAGGCTCAAGCATGTTTTAGAGTAAACAAACAATCTATTTTAAATGCAAGATGGGACTTTCAAATACTCTGTCATCATACTGAGGATTTTGATGAATTCTACATAATTATTTATATTATTATTTATATTATTATAGTTTGGGTTCTTTTAAAATTTAGTTGGAAAGCCACTATAGCCCATAATACACTTTAAACAGATATATGTTATGAAACATGGCATGTTTGTTACTTTAGGCACTATTTAATTGTATTATTATTTTTTATTCATATTCATATTAATATTATTATTATTATTATTATTATTATGTATTCTTCTTCAATCCATGCCAATAAACAGCCAGTTTCCATTTTTACAATTTATCTCAAATGGAGTGACAACATGCCCCACTGCAGGCTAAATGGGTAATAAAATGGTTTTCCTGGGTAATAACAGTGGGAATATTTAATATGGTTTTGTAGTGAAGATATTAAAGTTTGTGACCATAAAGAGAGAGGAAAAAAAGGCAAAGAAATATTCAACGGTGTAAAAATAGTGACAGCTAACCCTGATCACCTTTGTTTTTGTTTGAGGTTGCATGAGTGAAAGTGAAATTTGCAGTGAATTTGTGCTCATGTGAGAAAGCTTTGTGAAGCCGTGAAGGCTGCCAAAAAGCTTTTCCCTGTAAATGTAGATAAGTAAGCAGATAGACACTTAACGGTGTCACAGAGGACCTGACAAGCATTCCCTGCTGTGGAACAATAGAGCTAATTAGCCATCATTAGGTGTCCTGGTGAAGGGGGCTATTAGTAGAGGGGTTGAGGAGGTGTACTACAGCCCAACGGCTAGCGCATCAGGAGCACGCTCTGCACCTCTGACAGCGATTAATTACCCTAATGGGGGGGCATACATCTCTGCTTATCACACGCTGCACCCCACACAAACAGCGGGTGTCAGACTGGAGAAACGCTTCGACTATTAAAGTGCATCCTTATCGGAAAATGCAGCAGCAAAAAATAAAAGATTACAGATGAAAACAACAAGCCTTCTGCCATTTAAAGCACATTGTTCAGAGCACAGCATTCATACAGCAACAATAATGTGGCCTGGGATGTGTTTTGTTCTGGTAAGTCATACGTCACTAATAAAAGCACCAAATAATCAACAAAGTACATAACCGTTCAAAAGACCGGGGTTGGTAAGATTTTGTAATGTTTTTGAAGGGTGTCTCTTATGCTCATCAAGGCTGTATTTATTTGATCAAAATAGTGAAATGTTGTGAAATATTATTATCTAAGCAGCAACACAGCATATTAGAATGATTTCTGAAGCATCATGTGACACTGAAGACTGCAGTAATGATGCTGAAAATTCATGATTTTCATGATTCTGTGATGTATAAAAATGTCAAAAGAACAGCATTTATTTGAAATAAAAAATCTCTTGTAACATTGTTATTATTATTTTTACTTAATTTTGATCATGATTAATGCATCCTTGCTAAATTATATGGAAGCCCGTTTCCACCACAGAAACAAACAAACAAATAAATACAGTACATACATATATGATTTTTTTTTATTCTTGCAAAAAAATTGGAAATGCAAGACAAAAACAGAATTGTGACTGACTTTCTGATCTTTTCCTCATAAATCTAAATCTTGCAATTCTGTTTTTATTTGTTTCCACTATGAAAAAATTGCGTCTTTTAATCTCACAACTCTTTTTCATTCAAGTTTATATATCTCAGAATTACAAGAAGAAAAAAAAATCATAATTATGAGATTAAAAAGTCACAATTGTGTTTTTATTGATTTAAGTTATTATTATTATTATTATTATTGTTGTTGTTATTATTATCATTCTGTGGCAGAAACAGGCTTCCACCGTATAAAGTATTTATACTTTAATGGAAGAATTGTCATGCTTTTAATGTTGTTATATGTTAAAGCACTGATAACTGGGAGAGATTTATTCAGCAGTTACTGAGACCCTCAATTGAAACTTTTTTTGGCCATTTACATGTCAGTAGCATATTCAGATCATGTATCATCTCTCTCATTGCATGTGTTTATTTCTGGTTTATTTTGGCTCTCAGCTCCTGTCCGCTGGCTAAATGTGTGTGTTCCTGTCTGTCGGTGGCAGGGGGGCTGAACGCAGACATGTTGTGCCCAGGGCTCGAGGCTTAGTCTGGCCTAATCTGGGTCACACAAATGTAACACTTAATATGTCATCAGCATGTGCCACTGGCCTTGTACCGTTCACTGAGCACATACCAGCTCTCGAACCCTAGAGTGCCAGAGTCATGTCTGATCTCCTCTGATTTTACCCAAGGCATAATCATTCAGCATAAGAGACACAAGTTCAAATCTGGCTAATTGTGAGAGTGATTTATCAACAAAAAGTTGTCTCAAATATCTCATTTTAAAGCCTACATTTATAGTTATTTTTCAAATAAATAAATACATTTTTATATACATTTTTAATATTAATATGTAACCTAAAATAAAATAATGCTGAAACGTTCAGGGTTAGATTTGAGCCTGAAATACTTTTATTCAGCAAGAATCTATTAAAATGATCAAAAGTGACAATAAAAAGACATGTATAATGTTACAAAATATTTTTGTTCCTGTTTATCAAAGAATCAAATGTTAAAATATATGTCAAATATATATTAAAGTACAAAATATGTATTTTAAATTGTAATAATATTTAACAATATGACTATTTTAAATGTATTTTTGATAATGTTGATGATGTGTGTATTATTTAAATAAATGCAGCTTTGGTGAGACGTTGAAAAACATTTTTAATAATAGTGCAGATCTAAATATAAAAATGCATTTCAAAATAAATCTTCAGTGAAATATTTTGAGAACATTCAGATTTGAGATTCTAATGGCTGCGTTCCAGTTTTGTCACAATGCATTGCCTATTCTCAGTCTGGATGGGTGTGGGGGGTGTAAGGTGTGTTTTTCTAATAAGAAGGAAAGAGAACATGAGAGAGACCCAACGAAGACAGCCTGCAGTGTGTACATGAGCAGTCAGAAACATCACCACACCGCTCTGTGATTATACCCACCACCCCCACCACTGACTGTAGTCAGAACGCCACTGCTCTGACAACACAGCGCTCAATGGACTGATGCTCTCTCTCTCTGTGTGTGCGTGTGTGTGTGCATGCATGTGAGGTGTATTATAACACAAAAGTACTGCACCATCAAGATGACACCAGTGATAACAGTTTCTGTTCTGAGCCTGAAAAGAGTAAACAATCAAATTTCACCGTCAGACAGGTGGATGGAGAGAAAAATTGCTTGGTCTCTTTCTTGTGTCCACAAAGACACATGCATTTCAAGAAACTGATGTACATTAAAGCAGCACTAAAAAAGACCTAAGAATGAAACCAGCCTGGCTTCTGACAGCTCCAAGGCCCAAGTAAGCAGCAGTGCCATCCATCCGCATGCTAAAATCACAAATTATTCCATATACTGACACAAACCTGACCTTGTGGACTGTGAGGTCTTTTTGAATATTTTGTACAGTAGTCATACAAATCAATGTTTGTGTACAACAAGTGTCAAACCTAAATAAGAGCGTCACCTTGGAATTTTGAAGAGAGCTCTCATTGGATGAAGATCAGTAAGGGGCGGGTCTCCATCACCCAGCTCTATGGCCGTGATACCCAGAGACCACACGTCACAGCGCTCGTCATACGTGGAGTCGAGCTGCTGCTCACATGCGATGACCTGGTCAAATACACAAACACAGTCATTACTGAACTGCAAATGTTTATAACGGACATTGACTGTTGAACAGTGTCACCAGAGCACAGAAATTCCACCGGTATATCTGTTGAACAAAATGTTTCACATATTTTATTGCCATGTTTGCTGATTCTAATCTGACTGACAATGACAAATGACAATAATTTTGTTATTTGAATATTAAAATAAGAAAAAAATTAAAAGAAAAATGAATTTTTTAAATTAAATTCAAAGAGATTCTATACTGGTACAGGCATTTTACAAAATAAAGCATTCTTTCACTATATAATAATAATATTATTAATTTTCTTTTTGTTTTACAGTACGTTGTAATTAGAAATGCACCGATCAACCGGCCACTGTGAGTGAAGAAGACAAAGTTCGCAATTTGTAATACGAGTAGGGCCAAAGTAAACCGTAGGGGAAACACAGAGCACGCACAGCCTGTGTGAGAGAGAGAGACTCGTGCAGAAATCAAAACAAATGAGCGCAAACAGCACACAAAGCAACTCACAGAAAGTTACAGATGCATACTGCGGTGGAAAAAAAAATAGGTAAGCAACATTGCACGACCAAGATGTTTCCCCGAATATCAGCATAATTGCAATGTGACACTGATTTTATACAATGGCAGTTCAATAAACAAGTTAAAATGAAGTGACTTACATTTCAGACACAATACTATTGACTGTTTTTGCTTAATTTCGCAAACGAAAATAGTTCCAAAGCCATGGCAGAATGGTTGTGTGTCTCTGTTTCGCTACTAAATGAATCCCCATTTTTGAACAAATCAAGTGAGTCAATGATTCAGTCATCCATTCATCGGCCGTTTCTCAATATGCATTCTTGTCTTGTGGACTCGTGAAACGTCATAAGTCGTCGCCCAAGTACTTTTCCAATTCAAAGTTCACATCTAGCCAAGTACAGTTCCAATCCCCGGATGTGTTCTTGCTGCGCCCCTTTTATCAAGGATGCATCCAGAGGTGACTTGTGCAAACTTGAGGCAGCCAGGTATCCCAAAATGCATTTCGCACCAACCAGCGAGCGTTAATGGCGGAAGAGAAAACCCGCATTATTTTCAAAATATTACTGTTATTGTGTCATGAAATGCAGTTCTAAGAGTATTTCAGGCGAGAATGTAGTTGTTTAAAACTCAAATCTTCGGTTTATTTATTAAGATAGCGCCTATTTGAAAATTTGCTTCGCCCATTTCGGAGAGGTGAGGTCCACGTGATCAGCGGGCGCTCAGTGCTCATGTATCCCGCCGAGAGCAGCCTCAACTTGGCTAGTCCTTCTGACATTTGCCGCTGGCTCTGATGTCTCTGTAGTGGTTAAACATGAGATATAATTCATTTTGGGTCATCTTTGGTCTCATGAATCTATTATTTCTTCCAGGTCATATAGTTTCGGCTGAGCACAAAGTTATGTTTCATAAATTATTTATTTATTAATCGTAATACAGCGCTGACTTTGTTGCATACATTTGACTGAATGGTTTGCTTTTTTGTCTTATTTCCTATTACATAAGTATCTTATACTTTATAGTTATACTTTTATAATGGCTATTATTGTTCATTAAAACTCACATTTAACAAAAAAGGCAGAGTTGTGCTTGTCATATTTCATTTTATTATACATTCAGTGAAGATAATCAGAGTATATGTGCACATATTAATATGTTTTATATTTTTAAAATGAAAACCAAAAGGGTTGTGTTTTATATTTAAAAAAACCCCCAAAAAGGCAGTGGTGTTTGATATGATTTCGTTTTATTGTAATGCGTGTACGCGTTGCATGAACCACATTTTGTGGCTATTAATATTTTAAATGAAACAGAAAAGAGGCAATGCTTTTTGATATATTCCGTTTCACTGTAATGTATGTACGTTCCCCGAACTACATTTTTGCGGTTATTAATATGTTTAAATGAAAACGAAAAGAGGCAGTGGTATTTGATATCATATTTTGTCGTATTGTATACATACAGTGAGGATAACCGGAGTAGTCAAGGCGAGCTGACTGACGTTATCAAGTACACTGCTGTTCCATTTGCAGAATTACCGGACTTGTGTCCTCCCGTCCTCAGGAGTTTGCACTTCCGAGTCGAACTTGCGAAGTCCAAACTACCGAGGATGCAAGTCCGAACTTTGCGTACTTGGTATTGATAAACGGCCATCCATTTGAATGAATCAGTTGAATGAATTACTCAATGACTCACATTTAAACAACCATTTGTCGCCACCTACTGGTGGTTTCATATTTAACGCATTATTGATTTTTTCCCAACACTTCTTATTTGAATGTTCAAAAAATATATAAAACATTAATATTATCACATTATTTATGCCACCTCAGGTTTATCAAACAGTCTGTGTAAATACATCTAATGCTTTTGTTTCCTCTGCAGCACAAAGACGGATTTTGTTAATACTGATTTCATTTGAAGGTTAACAAATCTACAGTGACTTATTATCTTAACTAAGTGAAACAAATGTAAGAAGTTGATGTGAAAGATGACACATACATTTAATAAGGTTAGGGGAAAATGCCCATAAACAGTAGGACATGACATCTGTTCTGTTATTTACAAAATATACAAACTCATTTCTACCTCTTTCCAGTCACAGAGCACTTTATTTTCAGAGTTGTTTAAGTGAGAGAAGATCTGTAACTTATTCCAAATAGGGGAAATTGTAATGTGTAACTCTTTCTTTCTTTCTTGCATTGAAAAAGTAGTTTTTTTGTTTGTATATGCTGTCAGTTTTAGTTCTTAGAATGAAAAACAGAACAAAAAATAAAAAATAAAAATCCGAAATCGGAATTGGCCAAGACAATTGCAATCGGAGCATCTCTAGTTGTAATACTACGCAAGCAACTGAAACTGGGACCTTATAGTGCAGAATAATAATAGTTTAATAATACAGAAAATACATAAGAATATTACACAAACTAAATGCATGTTCATTTTATATATTTTTTTAAATATAGAAGATAGAAATATCATTGAAAAGAGACAAAGAGAGAGACTAAGCAGGGATGAGAGAAATATACATCTACTATAATAAATCTAAGCAAAAGAGCTGCTAATAAAAACATGCCTTTTTGTGAAGGAAAAAAAATCAAAACCGTATTTCTCCGTTTAAAAAAAAAATCTATTTAGACCTCTACATTAACTTTTAATATTGTACCATAAACCTTATGTGGATAGAAAACTGCAGAATGGAATACAGGTGGTCTTACCTCAGAATTAGAAACACAAATAAACTGTCCAGCGCCTTTAGTATTTAATCCACGCGATTAGTCCAGAAATGAACCTAGAATGTTCCTCACAGATGTTTAGAAGTCTAAAAATGCACTAATAATAAATCTCTGTTTGTGTTTTGATTGTATTGACACCTAGGACAAATTGAGGCACATAAGCCTCTAACCTTGAGTCATATGAAAATTTTGGCTACGACTCTCAAAACAACTTCAGAGCTGTAGTCCTCCTCGCCTGTCTCATATGGAAATCTTATGGAAAAACTATAAGTAAACAAAAACATTTGCAGCCCACAAAGTCACCTCCATGCTTTGCAAACTACTTGCCAACGGTCCTACCTCAGGGGCCATCCAGAATGGCGTTCCGACCGAAGTGTTCCTCCGTAGCCGGGTGTTTGTAAGCTGGGCCGATACCCCTGATCAGAGGAAGAAACACCAACAAAGTATCATGAAAGGTAGTTATCCGTACAAATTCAATGAATGGCTTCTGGATTCAAGGAATGTCTTTAGATTGTCTGTACTAGCTGAGTGGCAATGGAAACACAATTTGAATAGAGATCAAACAAGGTCACAAAGAAAAAAAACGTGTTGTCTTGGATGCAGTGATCATAGTAACCCAGCACTGACCCATGAGCCTTCTGACTGAGACTTGAAAATCTTTTTTAAGAGCTGTGGTCACCCTTCACTGTTACTGTAAAAGCAGAACGGACATTATGCTATATGGGTTTTTACAAGACATGATGGAGAGTAAAATAATCATTTTCTGATTTTTGGGGGGTCAACTATTCCTTTAAACGAGTGCATTTACATACAATTTACATAAGAAGCTAAATTATGTAAGATATTAATATTAATTTTCAGAGAATCTTACTTGACTGAAGGAAAGAATGGTGCTTGCAAGGATATACAAAGAGAGTGGTTAGTGTTAAACATCACTGAAAAATGGTAAACTAAAAGAAGTAACAGTAAATTAACTGGATTTATTTAAGTCAAAAATATGTTTTACTATCACTGGTTAACAATTTACAACCTAAATATATTAATTTGTATCACCAAAACGACATAATATGGGAAGTAAAATTTTGCACTTTTCACAGCGCAAGTTTAGCTTTTATGGTGAAGTCAAATTTGCAGGAAAAAAAACGTCACACAAAATTCAAACCGAGCAGCTTGGGAAATCTATGTGAGGAGCTCCTGTGCCCTCAAGTAGTTTCCTATTGAAACAACTGGATTTGGTTTGCCAAAATTCTCAGAACAACAGTAAATGTGACCAAAACTTTAGGGATTGGAATACACAATCTACTAACCTAATTTTCTTGATGTGAATATGATAGATTTGACATTTGACTGAGATAAGTTTTACATTTTCAATTTTACTATTCTTATTCATATTCTTATTATGAAAGGAATGATATTAGTTGTAAATGCTATTATTTTTAAGTAATTCAAGACTGAATTTTGAAAGTCTCATACTTGCTTACTTTAAAATAAATCTCACCAACATCAATGATATCATCATAATACTTACATTTGAAATCTGATTGGTCTTATTTATATCTGTTTGCATACTGAATTGCGACTGGTTTTTTCTATTTTGCATCTATGTAAATATCTATAGTCAGCAACAGCTAAATAGCTAAACCAAAGCCTAAAACCTAAACTTACCTAAAAGTAACCCTATTCTTTTCCTTCAGAAAATGCAAATCTAGTGTCATTTGTTCCAAGCCACAACTTCAGTATATGTAAATATTTTTCCTGGGAAACAAGATATTAGAAAATTGGATTTCTGCTGTGAAGAAACACACATTCAATTAAAATCTGTAAATCACATAGAATTTGAAATGTTTAGATTAGAGCAGATCATGTTGTACTGCTAAATTTAGCTATGAACACATGATTCATATTTAGAATTGTTTTTAAAGGAATCTTCTATCAGTTTCGGATTAGAGCTATTGAATCACCAGTAAACAACCCATTCTTGGATTCGTTGCAGTCACAAGACTCACAAACACATTAAATCCCCACTACACCAGAGACAAATACAGAAACATGGATTCACATATGCTGTCGGCTGGAAATGGACAACAGACAATAGACGTATTGAAGAATAACAGTTAAACACACATACACAAGCACACACAGCACTAAACAGTCTCCTGCGGCTGTTCCCTTTCTGCTACATTAGATCTGCACGTGGCCCTGGGGCCAGTCTTAATAATCATCAGAGATAACACTGACAATTAGAATATTCATGACAAAGCCACTAAAGCGTCCTCCTCCAACCACCCACCCTCCCCTCCCCTCCTCTCGCTCTTTTTGTCTAATAATGCAGTTTTTGTTCCCCATTCAGATGAGTCAGTGTGGGGGCTTTATCTGCTCAGCATAGCGTGAGCCCCTTCACACGGATAACGCATTAGCCCTGCGTGACTGAGCGCTCTGAGACGTGGGCACGTGGAACCTCTGCATACAGCCGCGGTCCGACAGCCACCCACTCATCATGGCTCCATTCCTGACAGTGGGAGACAGATATCGCCCCCAGCGCGTCTCTGACCAAGCACTCAACAAATAAAAAAATACTCTTTTTGGAAAAAATTTGGTTTACAGGGTAAACGGAGTGACGTTCAAGTGAGGTTTGCATGGTTTGATGGAGACAGAATATAAAATAATAATTTAAAAAAATATATATAATAATACTAATATATA